CCCTTTCCCACATTCAAGTCTGTGTAATTTTTGTTACTTCATAACATCAGTATTTGAATATAAGACATCTTAGCTATTCTAATGCAAGTTCTTAGTCCTGTCTCCCAGTAAACACCCACCTTACCCCTCATTTAAATCAAAACCCACAAGCACATTCAAAAAAAATGCAGCACAGAGATGAGAGAAGAACTAATAGGGCAGACTAATGAGCAGAGGCACGTGTCTGTGGACCAGCTCTGAGACCAGGCATCTGTCTGTCTAGGACTACTTCACCAGAGCATTGTTAATTATTTAGGTGAGAGAACAGGGGGACCCATCACCACATCTGTCACCTTCACACAGTGAAACCTTCCTTCGCTGATGGGCCAGATGTGTTTATTTGAAACACAGACTAACTAGCTATTTAATGGGTTTGAATCCTTAGCCAAAAGGTAATTAGGCAAACATATTAAGCATCAGTCACCTTACAAGGCTACACTGTTTCAGTTCTGTTGGTTTTAATTCAATCTCAGAAGAGCTGGTCACCAACAAAAAGTATCTGAAGAGAAGTCAAGGCAAAGGAAACAGTCTCAATTATGTGCAACAAAGTAAGCAGAGTAAATAATGATGCTTCCCAGGACCCAGTGTATTAACAATATTCCCTAAAAGTTTGCCTCCGTGATTAGCTAGAACCTGGTACCAAAATAAAGTAAAATAATACAAAAGCAATTCTTTTAGATGGATTTCCATCCCCAAATATTCTGTACCTATAAGCAAAGTATTAATATTAAAAGCTAAATAAATGATGGTTTTTTATACCCAATGTTTATCATTATGTGTGCAATTATTAAAAATCGTGTATCTTTAAGTATTTATCCTATCTGCAAAGCATTAAAGAATGTCAGTAGTTGCTATAGTACACTATTCAAAAGGAGAGAGACAAATACTGAGGCCTAGGAGACAGCAGGTAAAAGAGGCTGCTGTGAGTTTGATCCCTGAGATCCACGTGATGGAAGGAAAGCTGAAAGTTCTTCTGTGACGTCCTTATATACCACGGCAGGTGCACATGATGTGCCCGCACAGCACACCCACACATAATGAGATTAGCAAAAGTAAAAGTAATTTTTTTTTAAATTTAACTGATGCCTGACAGAAACAGAGGCCAACAGAGAGATGAATGGTGGTGGCAGGAGACATGACTTTGCCTTGGATGGCAGTAGTGGAGACAGTGAGCTGAGAATCTCATGTTCCGAAATCAGTGCCCAGTGAGCTCGCTGATGAGTCGAGCATAAAGTAGAAACAAATCAATTATGATTCAAAAGATTTTCTACCTGAATGACAAAATACAAAGATGGTATGGCATCAGTTAAATTTAACTGATGCCTGACATATTTTATATGTATTTATAAATATAAATTCACATGTCATTTCATTTTATAATTATATGAGAGAATAAATTAAACTGTCCTCTTTAATCATTCAGTTATTTAAAAGTTTTGTAAATTTCTGTCCTTGTCAATGGTACATCACCCTAAAATAAAATTCTGAACATTTTTCCTAGCCCTGTTCCCCCATCAGAAATCAAGTGACCTCTTTTTAATTTTTTTATATTTATTGGTAAACAGAACTATTTGAGAAAAACATAATCACCTTCATCCATCAAATGCTTAGTGAATTTACACTATTATGGGCACTGGATAAATTCAAGGGAGTCTCCAAGAAACAAAACTTACAGCATTTATTTTGGCAGAAAGGAGCCACAATAAACAGTAAGCTTTTGAGAGAAAATTCAGAACATGTAAAGGCAATAAGGAGGTCGCTTGATCAGAAAGAGTACCTAGGAAGGGTTTCTGCTTTATTGAGAAGGTGTCATTTGAGCAAGACTTAAGGAGATAAGAAGATACCATTCCAAGCAGAGGGACCAGCAAGTAGGACATCACTGATGGAAGTGTAAGCTGATTGGGTTAAGAGACAGGGAAAAGGGTCGTGTGGCCACAGCTGAGCAGAGAAGCAGTGAGGAGATGAGATCTAAGGAAAGGAGTTTGGTTCCTGTAGAATTTCAGGGGAATACTGCCAACTCTCCTTGAACTTCGTGTGGGACCTATTCCCAATAATCCTATCTGGAGGGATGACACAAGCTTATCTGTTCAATGGGATCCCTGAAGCCAAGGACAGAAACAGAGGCCAACAGAGAGATGAATGGTGGTGGCAGGAGACATGACTTTGCCTTGGATGGCAGTAGTGGAGACAGTGAGCTGAGAATCTCATGTTCCGAAATCAGTGCCCAGTGAGCTCGCTGATGAGTCGAGCATAAAGTAGAAACAAATCAATTATGATTCAAAAGATTTTCTACCTGAATGACAAAATACAAAGATGGTATAACCAATGGAAAGACTAGAAAATATAACTGAGACTGGGCCAGGAGGCATAAAGAGGGCCAACCAACAGGACTCCAATTAAACAGGTCCGAACTCTGGTGGTTTGTCATGGCTAATACAAGACCACTGAATTCCACTATACGCTTGGGGTAGGAAGATGCCATGAAAAACTAAAACTACCAGAAAGTCCAATTTAGCCACAGGCCGGTCATCACTGATACTATATCATCACACAGAACACAGAAATTTTTGAATAATAGTCTTACTCCTAAAGTTATATAATATAGCCCTTTCAATCTATTTAAAATAGAAAACTGGTACTGCTTGATTTTATTTGCATGACCAGACATGATGTTCAGTAACTTCTGAATATACTGAACATTGACACTTTCACAAAGACCAAGTATTCATAACAATTACAAAAATACAAAAACCATTCTCTTTGATTCCGTGGAGGAAAATATAATCTTCATTGTGTGAACACTAATTTTGACTTGAGATTATAGCTTTTGTTTGTGGTGATACTGTATTCCCCAAAATATTGTGCACCCTAATAAACTTATCTGGGGTCAGAGAACAGGACAGCCACTAGATATAGAGGCCAGAAAATGATGGCGCACGTGCCTTTAATCCTAGCATTCCAGAGGCAGAGATCCGGCTGGATCTCTGTGAGTTCAAGGCCACACTGGAAACAGCTAAGCATGGTGACTTGTGCCTTTAAACCCAGGAAGTAATGGCAGGAAGCAGAAAGGTATTTAAGGTGTGAGGATGAGGAACTATAGCCTGGTTAAGCTTTTAGGCTTTTGAGAAGCAATTCAGCTGAGATCCATTTGGATAAGGACTCAGAGGCTTCCAGTCTGAGGAAACAGGATCAGCTGAGGAATTGGCAAGGTGAGGTAGCTGTGGCTTGTTCTGCTTCTCTGATCTTCCATCGTTCATCCGAATACATGGCTTCAGGTTTGTTTGTTTTTTATTAATAAGACCTTCTAACAATTCGTGTTATATTTGGTGTTTAATATTTTTATGCTCTGTGTAAAAGATCAACGTTAAGTAATTCCATCAGTTGGATCAGCATTCTGATTTTTTTTCTTATAATCTTTAATCTGCAGCAAATAATTGCATTCCTTGCTACCAATGTAGAGAACATCTCAACTTTTTGCAATTATTTGCTACATATTAAAGATTACAAGAAAAAAATCAGAAATACTAAGTTACTAATTAAAATTATTTTTGCATTGATGAGTCAAATAAAAGCCTGTCTTCTGAACTAAAAATTTCTTATTTTAACCAGTTATCATCATGGTTTACAGTCACAAAAAAATAATAGTGAGTGTAGGATTAACTGAAATGGGGAATAAATTAAAGTACAAATTAATGAAGATGTATCCTTAGTCAGATTACCATGAGCCACTTGCTTTTATCTCTAATATTTATTAAGTTTTATAGCAAATATTTAAAATCTTACTTTGGAACTCTGTGTGTGTGCATGAGTGTGTACGTTCAGTATAAGTTCAAAATACTGGGTGTGGCTCTGGTTATCTGCAGATTTTAACAATAATTCTCAAACTCATCTATACTATTTTAGATTGCATTTAATCAATATTCATAAACAAGATAAAGTAAACATTAATACCTTCAACCTACTGACATTACAATTTTGGTATTAATTTATAATTTAACGTTCACTTTGTGCCATGTGGGAGGTACTGAGGTCGTGCTCACAGACAAGCACTTTGGGAAATAGGAATGTTAAACACACAGGGAAGTTTCTTCAAAGGAAGGGATGCATAACCTGATATCCTTCCAGGAGCTTGAGAGCTGACCTGCTTAATAGCCTGGTATCCTTCTGCACTGCTTGTGTGGCTAAGACCACACCAGATTCTCCCCCAAGAGCCTTATTGTGAGCTTGTTAATCTATAGAACATATCTTTATGGAGGGGGTCACATCTACTTTACAAAGAGTGTCAACGGAGTCAGTCACATCTTAAGATTTATTGTGCACATAGGAATGAATCAATTATCACCAGGGAAGTTTTCACCAAATTGTGCTCTGCTTAAATACGCTTAATATAGACTACTCAAAGTCAGACGCCCGAAGTTTGAACCAGCATGAGCTACTTAGTCTTGTTGAACAGAACTGCCTTCTTGCCTCTAGTGGAACATTATTCTGCTGGCCATGGTGGCTGTAGAGACCCATGCAGTACAGTAAAAAATATTCATAATAAATTTAACAATCAGCCTGGCTTGGTGGGTGCACACTTGCAATCTCAGCATTGGAAGGTAAAGGCAGGAGGACCAGGAGTTCAAAGCCAGCCTCAGCTACTTAGTAAATTTGAGGTCGCCCTGGGCTACATGATACCTTGTCTTCAAAAGACAAAATAAATAAACAAAACTACCAATGTGTGATTGTCATTTTATAGCGATTTGTTGCATTGTTTTTTGTTTTGACTTGGTTTTGTTGTTTGTTTTTAATCCATGAAGAAAGGCTTTTGTTAGGAGTGAGGACAAGAGAGAGAGGAGAGGGGGATAGGGAGAGAGAGAGAGGGAGGGAGGGAGACAGAGAGAAGAGAAGAGAAAAGATCCTCCTCAGAGCAGAGCAGTTGCTCAGCATCCCTGTTGAGCTGTTTTTGATGGAGTACTTACTCTCCAGCTTTGTTGAGGACAGGTGCAGGACAAAGTATGGAACTGTGCTGAACAAGGACTGGCTTTTCACCTAAAAAATAAAATGTCATTTAATTAATAAAGAGTTGTATATCTCTAACACAGTCTCATTTGAAAAAAAAAAAGCCAAGCACTCCACAATAAGAATTCAGGGCCCTCTGCATAAAAGAGACAGTTGTGTAGCTCGATCTGCTTAAGGGGCCCCCTGGCAGTAGGATCAGGATCTATCCCTGGTGCATAAGCTGGCTTTTTGGAGCCCACTCCCTATGGTGGGACACCTTACACGTCCTTGAAGTGGGGAGGGGCTTGAACCTGCCTCTACAGAATGTACCAGGCTCTGCAGACTCCCCATGGGAGGCCTTCCCTTCTTGTAGGAGGGGATGGGTGGATGAGTTGAGGGAGAAAGGCTGGAGGGGTGTGAAAAGGGAAGAGGGGGGGTCTGCGATTGGTATGTAAAATGAATAAAAATTTTCTTAATTATAAAAATTTTTTCAAAAGAATTCAGTGGGGAATATGAGAAAGAAAGGTCAACAGTATTTTTTTTAAGTCTAACTAAGGAGGCAAAATAAAGAAGATGGAAAAATGAAAAGTTATAAAACCTTGATACAAAGATATGGTAAATCATAAGTTGGGACTTTTTAGCTAAGTTAACAGTATACATTGTAGATACAACTTTTTCTCTAGAATGTTTCAAGCATCTCAGACTTTCAAGGATAAATTAGATATTGTTTCTGAGAAAGAGAATTTAGAATGGATGAAAAATGGAAGACTAGTGCCTAAGTGGACAAGCTAGCTACATCTCTACACCATACAAGCACATCCTAACAAGCTGGGTGCTTAAACCCCCTTAGAGCTTTAACAGTCTGTGTGAAAATTCATCTAGCAATGGAACTACTGAGAAAATTTCCATAAGCAAATGGATCATCTCAGAATATGAGGAATGAAAATACAATTCCACCTCCATAAATTTGAGAGTTGACTTCAATAAAATGAATCTTATCGATGTGTATATCATAATCAACCCAAATATGCAGTCAAAAGGAGTCATGTAAGTCTAGCACTTACATACAAATAACTACTGAATAGAAATAAAGTGAGCCTTCCCTGCTCAATTGTGTAATGTATTATGAATTTGATACAAATATTATTTTGCCAAAGCAAATGGTGTTCCTGATACAGAGAAGAGAAGTAGTGACCACATTTACCATGCTGAGATTCTCACCACTCTCATTCGACAAGCGCACAAGTGGCTGAGTGTGGCCAAACCTATGCTGATCAGAGAGTTCAGTACCATCAGAGAAACAACAAAGTTACAGCTGAATTCCTCTAAAAACAGTTACACCAGAGTTCATACATTTTAAAGGCCAAAATACCCACTGATTGAAAAAAAAAACAACAATGTTTTACTAGCAGACCAACATACTCAGGAAACCAAGACCTACTGGTGTGATGATCCAACTCACTTCTAGTGAACTCTAAAGTCCTAAATGGCCAACAGCACAAAAAAACAAACCAGACAATAATAAAAGTAATTTAAGAAATTGAAAAGTTATTGGACATGAAGTATAGAGAATGGCTGACCAAAACAATAATGATAAGGCAACAGGTAGTGAAATCGTGTGATACAGTTTTAAAATTACATTTTAAGTCAAGAGTAGCAAAATGTAAGTCTGGACAGAGGACAATTTGATCACATGACTGATGCTGTTAGTCCAAAACCCAGGTGCAGGTATTTCAACTTTCAGCTGTGCCTGTCATTAGCTGTTTCACTACAGGAGGAAGGTCATTCTACTCACCACAAACCATCTTCTGAATATGGAGGTTACTTAGGACAGAGTCTACGTGTTTAGTAAGTAATGATCAAATGTTGCCACTACTAAATAATTATTACCATTTGTATTATTATGGAGGCTTCATTTCTTCTCTGATAAAAAACTACAGCATGGCAGATTATAATGAAAAGAAGGAAGGGAGGGAGGGAAGGAAGGAAGGAAGGAAGGAAGGAAGGAAGGAAGGAAGGAAGGGAGAAAGAGAGAAAGAAAAGAAAATATCCCAGGCTGCAGCAATGGCTCAAAGATTAAGAGCCATTACTGCTTTTCCAGAGGACCTGGGTTTGGACTCCAGCACTCATATGGCAGCTCACAACCACCTATCACTCCAGTTTTAGAGAATCCATTGTTTTCTGGCCTCTGAAGGCATCAAGCTCTCACTAGGCACAAAATATGTGCAGGCAAAGCACTCATACGCATAAAAGAAAAACAAACATTTTTTAAAGAAGAAAAAATACTCAAGGTTGTGTGCAGTAAGGACATTGATGTGACACTGGCATTCCTGGAGACTTACTCTTTGAGTATGTGCTGTTCACAGTGAATGTACAGAGGACACTGCCATCATGGCTGTTAGATGTGACGGCTCTTCCACTCAGAACAACTTGAAATTCCTCTAGAGATAAAAAAGAAAGACAAGCACTGTAACCAGTGTTTTACTAAAAACAACCCAAGTATTGAGAGATTTGGAATACATTTCTTCCTTCTATCCATTTAACCAATAACCATGAAGATGCAACTCCAGCCAAGATTGCTTTCTGTAGATTGTCTGGGTGGGTATAGTGGAGGCAACACTTACTGTCACATAGAGCTGTCATGTGGTTTTTACTCAAGTATTTGCTAATAGTAACCCAGGTATTAGAATTAAAATATAGCAATAATTACCTGGCTCATCGCAATTCCCAGAATTCTATTTTTACATCTTTTTCAAAAAAAGAATATTCTCTTTTTTTTTCCCACTCTCAGGCATAAAGTTCAGGTAGTAAATAAAGAAAATGTGTCAACCTGTTTCATCTTCTGTTGCATACAAGCTTAAAATCCAACAGAGGTTCTGTCATTTGGATTCCTGACAGCTGTGACCATGACTAGAGGAAGTTGATTTACTGTCTCCCTGTCTACAATGTAAGGATAGGCACTAAATGTTAGAGAATGAAAGAATATACCAGAAGAAAAGTTGACAGACAAAATCTCTTGATAGGCTGAGAACACTTGATGCTTGACTACAAGACAGTATGTTTACCATCCCAACGGTGATGGATTATCGTCACAAAGACACACTGAAGCAAAAGAAACGCTAGAGAGCTGATCTGACCAAATTACAATTTAGAAATTGGCAGCTCCAAGGCAAGGGTAGCTTGAGAGCTCCACCAAAAAATTCAGCAGTTTTTTTTTTCTAGAAAGAACATAGAAATAATGCAAGTATACACACATGTGTATACACAGACACACACACACACACACACACACACACACACACACACACACACGCCCACACATTCACATCTATCTCATGGGAAAGTTCCTACCTTAATACTCTAAATATATTGGTTGCTTTTGACTGGTTCAGCTGAAGTTCTGTTTTTTGTTGTTGTTGTTGTTTGGTTGGTTGGTTTGGTTTGGTTTGGTTGTTATTTTTCAGTACATGCATTTATAAAAATATAGCTTGGGTTTTGTTGAAGTTCACAGATCAAGCAAGGGCCACTTGTGATGTCTAAATGGACTTTTATGCCCAGATTTCTTTCATTTTAACTCACATTAATACCCTCCATCCTCTCAAACTTCTCCCTCCCTAACATCATCCCCCCAACTGCTCATCAGCACCAAAACAAAACCTACCGGCCACTCTGCATTCACAGAAAGGAGACTTACTTGTAAGTTCTAATGATGTACAGGTAAAACCTAAAATGTAATTCAGTGAGAGCATGGGCCCTGCTGTCAGATGGGTAAGGATCTAAAGGACATTGACTAGTCTGTCTGTGCCTCAGTTTCTCCATCTGCAAACTGAGGATTATAAAACTTCCAAGTAGCGTTGCCACGGTGAGTAGGTAAAACTGTCTATTTAAAGGACACGGTCAGCAAGGTGCATGAAGATGGAGTCTAACAAAGAAGAGCTGTTGTTTTAATGCAGCTTCGGCCGATTTGTCTTTGTTTTCTCTAAGAAATTAATGATCGCTACCTTGAGAAAAGATCCTGCTGCTCTGGAATGTCCTTGTGTACTCTTCCTGCTCAGCATCTCCATGACCATTAGGGAGCCAGAAGATGCAGAGAACAAGAGCCTGTGCAGTACTGTGATGCTCTGTGGTAAATACAGGGTATATTCTCCTCCTTCTCCTCCAAGACTCAACATTTTTCCTTATCTAAGTAAAGTTGTGCTAAAATGAACTCTAGGTCAAACTTGAAGAAGAAAATAGGCCAGGGAGAAGCAGCCTGTCTGAGCCGGGACGTCTGGGAGGTGGGGACCTGAGCCTGCTTTGAGCAGCAGCTGATGAGGCCACCTGCTTCCTTCCTGCACGCTGCCCCTAAGTCACTTCCTCATGTGCCTGGAGCAAGCAAATATGATGATATGGCCAGGTCCTCAGAGCACACAGCTCTGTGCCTTCTGATCAATACCTGACCACCCAACCAGACAAAAGATTCTATATTTTATTTTATTTGCCATGGAAAAGGTCTCCAACATGAACTAAATATACAGAGCATTCTAAAAGCCTGTCACACAATATGCTCATTATTTAAAATAACATTCGAATCTTAAAAATTTGAATTTAAAATAGAAATATTTCAAGGAATTATTTAAAAATTCTTACACAAAAAAAGATGCCAAAAAAGTTAATTTTGCTATTCTCCTTCCAACATGAGTTTCAAATCATATATTTTAGCTATGGGGAGAAAAAAAACAATTTCTTACATGGTATTTTTAAATTCTAAACACTTACCCCCAACACAGACACTGGAAGGACTCAATTCCAGAATTTCAGTACATGATTGAGCTAGTATCTGAAAAAAGAAAAAAAATAAGGCTAAGCTATAAGACTAATTGTAAACATGCAAATTCTATGTGTGCTAACAAACTTGAGGCCACCTCCCTATTTCAAAAGATGTCGGAAAAAATTCACTTCACCATTACACACAGAGCTATGAAAGTCTTTGGAGACACTTGTGCTATCTGAGGGTATAACCTAACATTGTACATTGTAAAATCCAGATCAACAGAGAAAAGATGCACACCGCCTCAAAGCCGGGTGGCCTTGGGAATGAATAGCTGAAGTTTCTAATATCAAAACCAATGCTAGCCTTTCCATGTCTGGCAAAAATAAGAGAGCAAATCAAACTTCCTACTTAATACTGCTGTGTGTTATGGTTTTTGTTTTGAAGTTTAAAGTTTACCAATATATAACAGCTTCTTTACTGGCCAATGTGTTCTTAGTCTATTTCCCAAGCTTAATTCCCAAAGGTGCAAAACATCACACTTGCAGAAGGTAGACTCCTTGTGAAAACCAAACATTATTCTCAAAAACACTGTCTGTGTTCCAGCAGGCACAACACCCTGGAGCTGAACAGTTCCACTCAACGTGCTCCGAGTCCCAGAAACCACCTCACAAGGCACGTGGTTACAAGTGAAAAACCATGATGAGGAAAGCTGTGCCTGATGGTCGCCACAACTCTGTCTCTATTTTCAGAACTCCTCTGCACAGCGATATCAAAGTCAGACAAAGTCCAGATGGCCTGGGAGCAGCCTTCCTCTGCTGGTGGAAGTTGAGGACAGATGAAGTGCAGTGGTTTCCACAGCCCCTGCCTGTAACTAGACAGGACGGAAGTCCTAGGTCAAAAAGCACAAACACTTCCTGTGCTTCTCACTTATGGTGGAAACACTCAGCATCTGAAACCACCTGTAAAATCACGGACCTCTGTCCACGGAATGTGCATCTGAACAGGAGGCATCATTTGAACTCTGGAAAGGTTTTTCCAAATGAATACAACTTTCCACATACCAAGCAGAGTGAGCCTCCAGTGACTAGGAAACAAATCTAGTAAGATCTTACTTTTGAAAACCAAAAAACTTGTAGATAACAAAACTCAGGGCCCATGGTAAAAGCTAATATAGCCTCATGAAGGGGTGGGATTTCAAAAAAAGTCAACGTGTTTAAACATTCTCACAGCATTTGGGTAACAAGACTCTAAAGAAAACAGGACAGAAAAGTTTTGTGGGTTAAGACTAAACTAAGAACTTTCCAACTAATGAAAACAGGCATGATTGATTTAGTTTAGGCTAATGGAAGAAAGTTTTTTAAAAAGAGTGAGTCACAAAGTCGGCATCACCGTGTGACATAATCCAGTTGAATTTGCTCAGTATTACCTCCCTTCTTCCAAATTTGAACCTTATGTTGAGAGTGGAACTTCATCTATAAGAAGATACTTTTTGGAAAATTACAATAGATTACATTGCAGACCCTACTTCATGCTGAGCAGACTGTTTTATACATGCAAAACAACCACTAACTGCATACGTTTAAAAAAAATGAACGAGACCAACCATCAAAGAAACAGTGGCATTAGGGCACAGATACGTCAATCTGTGGTTGGTAAGAAAAAGCAACTAGCCCTCCTACTATGAATTATGAATTTTAGAAACACAGGATGATGTAATTTGAAACAAGGTTCACCAAACTCACTTCCAAATGAAAAATAGTCAGAGAAGAGGGTGGGTGGACGAGAATGACAAGAGAGCTGATACAGTTTTAGAAATAAAAATGACTTGTAAATTTGCCTTCTTCATCTAGAATTTACCATATCCTATACTAAGAAGGCAACAACTAGATAAATTAATTAATTTTTTAATTTGAATTTAAATTTAATAATTTGATGTTGGAACATAGATAGTTTACATGTAACACTTTAAACAATATTTACCATTGAAGCACAATAGTTCATGAAATCTTCTCTACAAGTAATGATACCAAATGAGAAGCTCAATAAGTGAAAATGGAGATCTTCCAGATAAGAGAGTCAACTAGAAGTTGTCTCTGCATGAACTAATGAAGAATCAGAATTAAAAAAAAAAATACTAGCTCTACTCCAAAGAAAGAAAGAGAACAAGAGAGCCAGAAACTTAAAAGACTATGGATAGGCTATCTAAAGAGTATAGATGACCCGCACAGGTGCTTCATGGAGGATGCCAAGTATAACACACTGTGAGCACAAGGATGCCTCCTGGGGAGGGAGGGATGGAGGAAAGCAGAAAGTTTCTCAGAAGGGTAAGGCCTATGGCCCTGGTGAAAAGGGGCTTGGATTATTACCTCTAGCATAGCCCCCCCCCCAAGCATGTGCAGGCCTAAAAATAAGACGGTTTTGGTGAAACAGCAATTCCTTGGGCTGGTGGATCAACAGTGGTACAGAATCCCACTTTCACTCTGTGTGACTCAGAGGGAAGGTGCTGGGCCAGGCAACATCATAAGAGAGAAATTACTGTTTGAAATAAAACTATCCTTGGAGACTAAGAAAGGAGATCAGTCATGGGACAGGGAATTGGAATTTGATCTGCAACCATCCCAGGGTAAGAATAGCCCTTGGACACCACAAGAAAACACACAAGATCTACTAACCCGGGCTCATATACGGGCTCACAGAGACTGAACCAATAACCAGGAAGTCTACATGGAACTGACCTAGGCCTTCTGCATATACGTGACAGTTGTGCAGCCTGGTGTTCTTGTGGGACTCCTACTAGTAGGAGCCATGGTGGGGGGAAGGGTGCCTCTCACTCTTTTGATGGCTTTTGGGACCATAGTCCTCACACTGGGTCACCTTGACCAGCCTTAATACATGAGGAGGGGCTTAGTCTTACTGCAACTTGATATACCATGATTTTTTTTTTTATATCCATGGGAGACCTGCCATTTCCTAGACAGAAATGGAATGAGTAGATTGCGGGGGTGGGGGTGGGGGAACGACAGAGGGCAGGGCAGGGAGGGACTGGGAGGAGAGGAGAGAAGGGAAACAGGAGCTGAAACGTAAAATAGATAGATAGGCAGGCAGACAGACAGACAGATAGATAGATAGAAAAATGAATGAATGAATGAAGGAATGAATGAATGAATGAATGAATGAATGAATGAATGAATGAATGAACAACAACAAAAAAGAATAGCCCTTGGAAGCAGCTGTAGAGAAAATCGAGGACTAAAAGCCCCAAAGCCAAAAACAGGACATGGCAAGAGGCTGGGCTTAGGAAGTGGAGTACATTAGAAGAGGTAGATGTCCTTCTTAATTGCCTAGAGCAGTTTTCATCAACTATGAATAACCCTGAATTTGGGTAACTTGGAGCTTAGAAGCTCAGTGAACATATATACCACTGAAACCAATTTATCTGTTATTCCTTGCCATAAAACCTAAAATCCTGAAGATCCCATGGTCTACTAACACTACAGCTGCATTTCAGGAGGTGGATAAAATATTTAGGAGATCCTCCTACCTGTACAGATCTCAGTGTGTAGTTTTTCCCATTCCCAGTGAATTTGGGAGACACCTACAGCTAAAACATTAACTACCCTAGGGAACGGTATGAACTGGAGAGTCCAGAAGAGTGAGAGATTCTATGCAGAACAGACTGACTGCAAAGCTGAATGTGAGCAGCACAGACCCTGTTATGCAAAGAGGGGAAACTATAAAAATGAAATTTGAGACCCTAAGAGTATGGTACTCAATAGGAATATCCCCAAATAAAACTGAAAGATGTGCACAAACCCCACCACAGAAACACAATAAATATGAAAAGGCAAGGCGTCATGAGTCCTTCAACACACCGTATTTTTCAACCACTGACTTAAAGACACTGGAACAATCCTCAAAATCATTCCACAAATAGAGAAAGCAAAGCACCAAATTCATTCTTCAAAAATCAGTATTGCTCTGATACCAACTAGATAAGGACATAAAACACAAACACACATACACATGCACAGAAAGAGAAAGACAGAGAGACAGAGATCTGTAGACCCATTTCTCTAGTGAACAAAGACAAAATTCTTACAAATCATACTCTTGTGAACATATTAAGAATCACACATATGAGGCTGGAGAGATGGCTCAGTGGTTATGAGTACTTGCTGTTCTAATGGAAGACCCATATTCCCAGCACCTACATGTTGGCCCACAATCGTTTATAACACCACTTCCAGTGAATAGGATGCCCTCTTGTTTACCTCTGCTGACACCAGACATGCACATTACACACACATATGTGCAGCATGCATTCATATACATTAAATGACAGTAAATAATTCTTTGTAAGGAAAATTATAAAAAGACATCACACATGTATTATGACCAAGTAGGTCTTACTCCGGGCAAGGAATGAAAGGTTGGTTCAACATACTAATGCAACACACAGGGACTTAGAAGACAAAAATTACATCATTGTCTCAACAGGTATAGAAAGGCCTTTGACAAAGTTCAACATCCTTCCTGATAAAAGCCCTTAAAAACAGGAATAAAAAGAATATACTAGTATACTAAAGATTATATATAATAATTTTGCAGACAACATAATACTAAATGGGGAAAAACTGAAAACATTTCCCTGACATCAGGAATGAGACAAGAGTGTCCACTCTCACTGTTCTCATTCAATATAGTACTTGAAGCCTTAACTTGAGCAAAAATGTAAGAGAAAGAAATTAAAATGAATAAAAACAGGAGAGGAAGAAGTGAAGGTATTTCTATTTGCAGATGACATAGTTCCAAAGATAGAAGAGCCTAATGACTTTCCCAGAAAACAATGAGAAATTATAAACACTTTCAGAAAAGTCTCAGGCCATAAAATGACCATACACCACTCAGTAGCCTTTCTATATGCCAATAGAGGCATTCCCAAGAACCAAACAAGGAAAGCACAACGTTCACAATAGCTTCAGGCACTTACCCAAAGGGGTGTTAGAAATGTTAAGACCATGATGGAGGAAATTGAAGTGGTGACTAAAAGACACTTTCCAGGCCTC